CGACAGGTCACAAACAGGCTACACCTGGAACTTGCTTCAAGTGGGGCAAAGCTGACCCACTGGGTGAAGAACACCTTGCCTGCCACCTTGCCTGTCACCTTGCCTGCCACCAGGACAATGCCTGAACCGTGGACGAGCAGGACACTGGAGAATTTACGCCTGTCTTTGCCTTACCAAGGTAGGTTAGTCGCTCAAGTTCCTCATCCACAGGAAAGACTCTTAGATCTTCTGGGTCTGATGGCCAAAGACTGATGCCACCCTGGGCCTCTGGCCACAGCAAACCCACAGAGGAGCCTAAGGTAACAATCCAGGTAGCAGATAAGTCTCTCACTGTAACTGGTACAGAGGCCATTTAGATTATACTTCCTGCTCACATTTATCCTTCTCAGCTCTCTGATGGTGTTGATGGCAAGCTATGGTTATCACTGCCAGAGCAAGCAGCCAGCTCTATCTCCCAAGGCTGCATCTGATTGGTCAGACAATTTCATGGTAAAAATCAAGCCTTGCCTTTTCTAGACCTATAGGTCTCCTGCTGAGAAAGGCAGTTTCACAGGCTTCACACTAAAAGATAAACTCAAAACAGATTTCAATGTAAAAAACAAACACAAGTTATCATGCTGCTATTACTACAACTTTTTTTTTTAACTATTCACATATTTAAAAGAACTTACTTTTCAATAACTGCTCTCAATAACCAAACACCTACAGCTAGTAGTAAATGACTGGATGAGAAAAAAAGGAGTAAAGTTTATTTAAGTTGTGAGGGTCTAGGAAAATGATTTAATAAATGCAAGTTGTAAAGGTCTGAGGATGGGGAAGCTTGTGTAAATTGTGAGGGTCTAAGGAAATGATTTACAGTATGTAAAAGTGACTTAACAATAATATATAATGTTAAGACTTTAAAAGTTCAGAGTTTTGTTTCGTTTTTAAGTTCAGACTTCTAACATATTAATCAAGAGTGTTCTGATAAACTGTTAATCTAGCCTTGGTCTAAAGCACTAGTTATAGTCACAGGCTCAGAAATTTACATTTCCTTTGGTTGTTTACTAAATATAGACTTAAAAGTGCTTCTCATTATGGTGAAAAAAATTTGTCCAACATATGCATGTACACACAAACACACACACAGCCCTCTGGACAGAGGAAAGAATGTCCTTGCTTTTAACACAAAACCATTTTTTGGGTCCCTAAGCTTTTGCTATGACTCAAAGACATGAGTCTATCCAGCTGTCTACAGATGTTGGCTAACTGCTTTTTCTACAGTGAGGATTTTGGTGCAGATTACAGGCAGTAGTCATGATAGCATCTCTAGTACTTTCCTCTCTTTTTGTAAACTTTAAAAACTCACAGAAGCTTCAGTGGGTTGAGAGTTGGATTCAGATCTACCTGCATAGGTCAAGCAGACACCAGATCAGCACTCCGGTCGGTCAGCGGCTGAAGCTGTCCCACCCGTGCCTATTCCTGAAGGTGGGCTCTCTTGCTCCTCTGGTCTTGGACCTCCTTCCACCTCCCCGCCCCCAAGAACCAGGGCCACAGGTCTAGAAGTCTCAAGTGTACACCACGAGTCTCTCCGAAGCCCTGAACTTTCCTGATGGCCTGAGACGGCTTCTTTCCTCGGGGCATCCGGGCGCTGTTGGGCACAGATGCTGGACTTGAGGGAATGAAGCTTAGCGGGTGAGGGGGTTAGCAGGATTTCTGTCAGCCAGTGAGTGTGGGGGTGAAACAGGCTTCTCTGAGAAGGTTCTCTGTGAAACAGCTCTCTTTATTCAGGGAATGAAGGCTATATTGTTGTGCCCAATTCGTGAGATCCCCCGAAGACCACCTGGAGTCGTCTGTTGTAAAACACAGGAGGATCTTCATTTACAGCTCGAGCTGGAGTCTCACAGACACCAAGGCATTGGCATCCAGCTGAGAGCCCCAGCTCCTGACTGTGGGTGATTTACAGGTCCCAGTGCCTCCCAGCACTCCCAAAGCAGGGGATTCCAGCCTGGCAAGCTTCTGTTGGTTAATACAGAAACTGTTTGTTATGGGAAAGTGCCAGGACCATGAATGGCTCCGCTTTCTTCGTGGAAACAACTGGCCTTGGGCTTTGGTGCTGTCGTGTGCTGGCCTTGGGTTTCGGTCCTGTCCTGGACTGCTACACTGCTCTGGGGTAGTGCAGACGATTATCTCCAGGAGCAAGGCCAGTTTCCTGGCAACAGCACCTCCAATGAGCAGCAGGGTCAGCTCTTCCCTGCAGCTGGCTGGATCTGCCTAGAGGCAGCAAGGTCAACTGGCCTGATAGGTTTCAACTTTTTAGCTCAGTAACACAAAAACCTAGTTTTTAATTCTTTTGGTCTTTCAATATGAACCTTGGGGAAGTGGGGAAGTATGTTGGAGTGAGTGGACATCACTGGCTGAGGTGCTGGGAATGCTTCCTTTGCATGGAGAGGAATTCCAGGTGCTAGCTGGACATGCTTTTATAAGGAAATAGTAAGTTTTAACCTGAAACCTGCCCCAGGGGTGTCAGAGGTGGGCGTCATAAGGCTATGTGCACCAGGGCATACAGGCCCAGAATAGGAAGGGGGCGGTCTTTCCTCCTGCTGATCTCAAAAGGATATTTTTAGGATTTGGACATGTCTCCACCTTACTCTTGCTCCAGGATGGCTCCCCTTAGTCACATGACTCGTGTGTCCCCTGCCTTCTGTCTATAGTCTTTGTCTGTCCCAGCAGACTTCCACTCAGCTGACAGACACCATCTGGGAATCAACTGCAGCCTGAAAACTGCTCCAAAACTTCCTGCAACATGCCAACCCCAGGTGGGTCTACAGAAACCTGAATTACTGAGAGACAATGTAAACAAGCTTTTGATGGCATTTCCTCAAGTCTCCTACCATCGCCTCCTGGCTTGAGCCCCTGCTTTAGACCAGCATTCCAGACTGCTTCTAGGCAGCCTGCACTTTGATGCTGCAGTGGTCCTTGCAGTAGTCCTACAAAACCTGGACAACAAAACAGATCTCCCCTGCTATTGCTCAGATACCTTCCTCAGGCTGGCCTTTAAGCCTTTCTGAGCCCCAACAACATCCTATTTTCAGCTGACAAGCAGTCACAGAAAAGATTACATTACATCAACAAAAGAATGCAATGTCAGGTCCAAAGAAAACTCCATTTCCCCATTCCAAAGGCAGAAGAGACAAATGGCTGTGTGGTGTCTCTCAGCATGCTGTAGGCTTCCCCAGTATCACAAGTATTTGCTCCACACTTCAAAGTCCATGCTAGCCTCCTCACCCTTCACACCTCCTCTTCCACCCTAAACCTCCCTAGCTCATCGGCATCCCCGCCCCAGCTGCTCATTCTCCTTATAACCCTGCGATCTTGGCTACGACCCTCATCTCCCCTCCTTGTCCTCCTCTCTCTGCTCCTGCTTCTCTTCTGGCCAGGTCCAGTCTGCTGGCCATGTTCAGTCTACTACTCTCTCGCTCTGGTTTCGACACGTCCGATGCCTCTGCCTGTTCTTTTTCTCATATCTAAAATAAAAACCTTCCCCTTAACCAGACCACAGACCAGTCATGTTGTTTATACTGAATTCCATGGCCAACGTCTTAGGTTCTAGACTTAGGGTCTCTATAGTGCAAAATCTTCTGCTAATTTTTTATGAATATCTTTGTAAAAAGTTCACAAAGAATAAGGAGGCAGAGGTTTGGGATGAGGGTACTGGCAGGGACGAGAGAAGATATGAGCAAACAATGGTAGAGGCACTGTTTAGTTTTGCGTCAACTTGACACCAACTAAGTATTCTGAGAGGAGGGAGCCTCCACTGAGAAAATGCCTCCATAGATCAGGCTGCGGACGAGCCTGTCAGGCATTTCCTTAATCAGTGATCAATGGGGGAGGGCCCAGCCCATTGTGGGTGGTGCCATCCCTGGGCTGGTGGTCCTGGGTTCTATAAGAAAGCAGGCTGAGCAAGCCATGGGAAGCAAACCAGTAAGCAGCACCTCCATGGCCTCTGCCTCAGCTCCTGCCTCCAAGTTCCTGCTGTGTGTGAGTTCCAAATAAATCCTTTCCTCTCCAACTTGCCTTTTGGTCATAGTGTTTCATCACAGCAATAGAAACCCCAATTAAGACAGTTGAGAATGGAGAGTGAATTTATCAGACAACTTCAGTAGAACTGCTAGATAGCATTGAGTCCGACACTCATGAGTTCATAGAGAAACAATCTAATTTGCCTCGTTACTTGACTTTTTAACATTTTTATATATATTATTGTGGTGTGGGGGTGCACACTGCAGGGCATGTGGCGGTCAGAGGCCAACCTCAGGGAGAAAGTCCTTTCTTCTGCCTTCATGTAGACTCTGGGGCTCTGCCTCAGTCCTTGCATGACCACTGCTTCCATCTGCTTAGCTACCTCATCAACCCTACTATATGACCTTTTCTTCACAACATTTGACCTACTAGTGCACAGATACAGAAAACTAGGAGTGGTCCACTGGAATAGTATTAGGGAACTTGCCGGATTTTTCTACACTTAATGAAAGAGAGAAGAAACAGAGTTCAGGGTATTGATAATGCTACTATTAGTAATGTGATGGGCGCAGTACTCCCAACCTTCCTAATGCTGTGACCCTTTAATATAGTTCCTCATGCTGTGCTGACCCCCAACCAAAAATTATTTTTGCTGCTACTTCATAAGTGTAATTTTGCTACTGTTTTGAATCATAATTTAAATAATTTTGGAGACAGAAATTTGCCAAAGGGGTCTCGACCAACAGGTCAAGATTAGAGGCTCTCAGAAGAAAAGAAATGAAAGGGAAAAAAAAAAAGGAGATTAGGGTATGGAAGTAGATGAGTAAGGGGACTCAGGGTCATGATTAGTTGTAAGAACTATGGTGGACGGAACAGCTGAGCAAACTAAATATGTAGTAACTTCACACACAATTAGAAACAACACAAATCTCCTTGATTGAAATTAAGGTAGCCTGCACGAATTTAAAAAGATCTTACCCATAAAAACATGCATAAAATGATATAATTTTAAGTTTATTTCAACAAACTTTACAAAAACGTGATTTTTTTTTTAAAGGAAAAAAACCTGAATCTCTATATGCACGGTACATTTGATTGACCATCAATGTATTTTAACAAAATATATTCAGAAACACCATGTCTAATAAAGCTTTCTGTATACACAGTAGATACTAAGTAATTTTGCTAAATGATGAGGCACTTGAAAAAGTCAAAACAAAGCTGTAAAATAGTTAAAATACATGTTTAAAATATTGTGAACTTTTCTTTACCAAAAACAGTCATCCTCCAGTCTTCCCTTTTTACATGTTCTCTTTAACAGAATTAAGTCTCAGCTTTGAAGGACTACATCTTTCCCTCCAGGCTTTCAGGAATATTAGAGTCCTTCAGACCCAGAGCAGTTTACAAAGGAGCAGATAATTTAAAGAAAAGTGATGAGAAATACAGAGAACCTCACTTCTGAGTTATTCCTGCCACGTTCTGCCTGAGCTGGCTGCCAACTCACTCAGTTAATCTCAAATATGAGACTAGATTTTACTGCTAATTTGGCTTTAATGTAGCCCACCATGAGTCATCACTGAAGAAACATTGAGCTCTTAGCTAATTATGAAAAAAAAAAAAAGTCTGGAGAGTCTCTGAGTGACAAAAAGATATTTAAATACAAAGCACAAAATTCTGAACATTAAGTTATTTGTGAACATGCACTTTCTTTGTGCACAGACTATAACTCGGTACCTGGGCATGGAGGCACACACCTCTAACCCCAGTACTCGGGAGGCGAAAGCAGGAGGGTCGTGTGATCTAGATCAGACTAAACGATGACACACCAACTAAAAGAAGGAAAATAAAATGTGATACAGTGGTTAAAGAAGTAAATCCGGATACTGTGAGTATGAAACAATTGTAACATGGTCAAATAATAAGACGCAGCTGGGAGTAGTTTCATGATAAAAATAACTGTTTATTCCTGGCCCTCAGTCCTGCCCAGATCACTGGAATGAGGTCATCAGAGCTGCCCTCCACCACGATGCTATGTGCTGATCATGCTCTTAAGCTCTCATTACAACAAAGTTATCTTAAAATACAAAACACAGTTCGAAGATAAAGTGACCTTCTCTGAAACACACGTGCTGCCAAAAACAGAAAAGCCATACACTTGATTTTTTTTCTTTACCTGTGAGATACTAAAAAGACATCCTATAACTTCCTGATTTTTCCATATCTAAGAACAAAAATGCTAAATATAATAAATAAACGTGCAAATTGGAGGCATTGAAAGGGTACAGAATAGTGAACATAGTAATATAACAGTGTATTAAAAATTCAGTTTTTCAGTCTTAAGACTTCTTACAAATATAGTTTTGCTTATTGCTACTATTAATATTTACCACATAAAGGCACCTGTCACTACTCATGAGGAAGATCTGGATTTGAAATTTTCAGAATGTGTACTGTTAAAACTCTTTTCTTTTAGTCTGAGATAATTAAAGTTTTAGATGTTTTTGTATGATAGTAGCTAAATGTCTTGAAACATACTACCCCAAACACCCCAAGCTCTGTGATATTTTTATACTCTAAATTATCATGAACATTAATATTGGGGTAGCATGTGAAACTTTAATTAAAAAAATAGGCAAAATAAATCATAATGGATGAAGTTTAAAGGATGTGACACCTTTAAAATATTATAGGATAAGAACAGTGATGTGAAATCTTGGTCAAGTTTTTCTGCTTCTCTGACCCCCATAACCCTCTTGCCATGTTTTAATAATAGCTACTCTTCATGCTTAGAAGGCCATGACCAGTGGGAAGCATATGGCAAAAAACCAGTACAACCATATAATAAAACATTCCATTTATAATACTCCCTCTAACACTGGAATTCTGGCCTGCTTCTCTTGCATTTAGAATTCCCAGCTATAGGACAAGCAGAATAAAAACTTTCATAGAAATACATCTCTGAATTCAGCTTCCAGAATTTTATCTGTACTGTGTGCGCATGTGTATATGTGCAAGTGTGTGGCCCGTGAGTGTGTGCTGCTGTGGTTTTACGGCTAGAGGGTGCTAGGGATCTCACTCTTGGGCAGCACACACTTCACTGAGGAGGACACCAGGGTTTGATGGGTTTAGACCCCTCTTGATGCTTCCTGAAAATGAAGAGGGGCACACTGCCCAGGTGTCCTGGCTCCTGGCCTTCCCTGCATCTTTCCTAGAAAGACTTGCATCTCCCTCATCGTCTTATTAGGAAGCATACACAGTTCCACTAAGGAAATTCCTTTATAACGATGTAAATATATTTAAGAGTATAAGGACATACAGATGAAGTCAATCTTAAATAGCTTTCTTAGATTAACACAAATCCAAAGTGGTTCAATAACCACTACCAAAAAGGTCCATTTTCTGTAGGTATAAATGATTCTGGGCCAGCTTTTCCCAATGCAATCCCTAGCTGCGGGAGGTGTTGGCAAACCTGTGTTGAGTGTATGTGGGCAGCAAGGCGAGCTGCTTCTGTACTGCACTTCCTTACTGCTGTGCTGATTATACATTCTAAGAAGGGATGAGGTGCACAGCATTTCCCAAATCCACTCACCACCATATCTCTTTTCCTATCACAAAAATTCTGGAAGCTACCAGCTCTGAGAATAAGACATTGAGAAATGCCCCACCTATCCTGGTTCTAAACATTCCAGGGCTGTACCTGGCGATAGTTACACTTTTAATTCCTGAAGAAGAATCACTTTGCTTACATGGTCCCCAACCATGGTGACCTGGATTCTCCCTCCTAAGGCTTCCCACTTTGTGTGATTAGGAGTTACATTTCTTTACTGTGGATTGAGAAATTCAAAGGAGCTGATCAGATTATGATCTCTCTAAGGAGATCTTTATATTCTGCCTGCAAGCATTAAAAACACAAAAATCTAATACTCTAAATCTCAACCTAACCCTGAGTCTCAATGTCTTTAGAGAGGAGTGTACTGCATCACTGTGTCATTGCCATTAATCTTATCGCTAATATTATTTAGTAGTTGAGGTAGCAGAGGTGAAAGTATTGGTTACACACTTATTTTTGTATATTAATCCTTCAGTCACCTCCATGAATTTGGGGCGTACTATTATGCAGATTTTACAGACTCATGCCCTGAAGTTTACAGGATTAACTGACTCGCCAAGGTTACACCAAGGAGTAAGGGCAGGGTGTCAAGCTCACACCTGACTCCTCAGTCCATGCTCTTAATGCCATCTTAAGGACTCGTGACAAAACAAAAAACAAAACAAAAAAAAAAAACAGAACAAAACATTTAAGTCACATTCTCATTGTATAAATACATTGAGGTGCATTTAGTTAAAATTGAATCGTTTAGAATTTAGTTTTATATTTCCTTCTATTCAAACTCTCATTCCTTTAAAAGAAATACTCAAAGTTTCAAAAAGACAGAAAAATAGATTTCTATTTACCAGCGACAGGTTTCTATGTGTTTTGTTTGTGTTTGCTCTTGGTCTTTTGTTTTTGAGACAGATCTCAATATGTAGTCCTGACCATCCTCAAACTCACAAAGATCCACTTGCGTCAGCCTCCCTGGAATGCTTGCTTCTATGGTTTTTTTGTTGTTGTTGGTCTTTTGTTTGTTTGTTTTTGTTTTAATGAGGAGGGCTTTAAAAATCTGCATCCAGGGTGAAGACATTAGCTGTAGTTTCTGCCATGACTGCAAATCGCTGATACTCAGAAACTCTTTTCTCAAAGAAATTTGTTTTCCCTTCTAATGAAATGTTTTCCATAAAATCAAAGGGATTTTCTGCCTGAAAAACCTGAAAATAAAATAATTATCATTAGATATTCTGAAGAGTCCAAATTAACCCCCACAACAAGGGCAAGAATGGTGCCTGCCAGAGGGCAGCTCTCTCACTGCCACTCGTCTGCAGCCACACTCTCTAAGCGTTTCCATGGCTGCTCCCAATTCATTTACAGTTTCAAAGGATTTTGCAAAACCTTTTTTTTCTTACAAAACAAGTCTCTGTCCTACAAATTTTATTTGTTTCTCTGTTTGTCAGAGATGGGCCATGTAACCCACGTTGGCTAAAAACTTGCAATCCTCCGGCCTTAGAAATGTTAGAATAACAGATGAACATCACACCTCCAACTTGTCACTGGCATTTTAAAGGTTGACTAGTGTATTACAAATGCTTTCAGGAAAGTAAATTTCAGAGAGCTTACTTTCTATAAGCTCTTATTGACAGTGTGGGGGCATGACTGACGGTGGCCTCCAGAGGCTCCCATATTTGAATGTTTGGTCCCAAGCTGGTGAGCTGGTGAGAAAGGATAGGAAGTGTGGCATTGTTGGAGGAAGTGTGCCACTGAGGGTGGTTTTTGAGGTTTCGGAAGCCCACACCTGGCCCAGTTGCTCTCTGCCTCCGTGTACAGATCAGGAAGTAAGCTTTCAGGCCCTGCTCTAGAACCATGCCTGACTGTCGTGCACTGTGCTCCCTTCCATGATGGCCATGAACTCACCTTCTTGACACGGTAAGCAGTGTTTTCTTTCAGATGTTGCCTCTATTGTGGTGTCTCTTCACAGTAATAAAACAGTAACTAAGACCAATAGTGACATGTTTTAAAACACTTTATTTACCTTTGAGAATCCAAGTTCTACGAGTAATCTGTCAGCTACAAACTCAATATACTGTTTCATCAAAACACAGTTCATTCCAATGAGGCCAACAGGCAAGGCTTCTGTTAAAAACTCCTGGAATGCAAACAAAATGAGAATAAAGCACAAGAAGATAACAATAAGTATACAAAATATGTAGAATTATCGCTGGAATTTGAAATGTCCCCTACAGGCTGATGTGTTTGAGCACTTGGTCCTGACACCACTGTGTAGGAAGTTCATGGAACCTTTGCTTGCTGAGACTTAGCTGGCAGAATGCAGAACTAGGTCACTGGGCGAGAGCTTTGAGGACCTTCTTCCCATCACTCTACTCTCTGGTACAGTTGATCTAGACAGGTTGTGCTTTATCCTACTAGAACCTTCCTTGCTATGACAGACTGTACCTTCTGAGCTATGAACAAGAATAAGTCCTCTTCCCTCAAATTTCTCATGGAGAAAGTGATTAACACACAGAAGTTTAGTTTTATTCATATTCTAGACACGGATTTTGCTCAAGGAAAGTATTCTGGGATAACTTTAGCATGACAAATGATGGTCATCTGTTTACAAATGTTTGCGATACTACTAATATGATTTCACATTCTAAGGGGCCCAAAAGTAAACAGAAAACAGCAAATGTCCAGATCCTTTAAGATAGTAGGATCTAGGACTGGATTCCTAGATCTCCTCAGCACAGAAAAGGAGATGCTTTATCCTGAAGGATCCAGACAAGTCTTCTTCGAAGACCACCACCAAAGAAATATGACCACAAAAAGGAGTCAAGAGAGAGACATCAGTTACAGAGAGCATGACAATAAGCAGGCGTGAATTTGGAGGTTGGGAGATAAACTGAAATCCAACTATACTGAAAGAACAGAGGAAAAATAAAAGTACATTTTATATGTGTGATAGAATAATAGTTAAAAGATAAATTAAATTATATATTTATATAATTATATAAAATACAGCCCTGAAAAAAAACCAGGTATACAAAAAAACCTAATATATAACAAAGACTGACTTTCAACCAAATTATAAACTGGTGTAACAATTTCAATACATCATGTATCAGTACTGTTGCGGTTTGGATGAGAAGAGCCAGCATGGGTTCATTTAGTTTCATGCTTGGTCCCAATTGAAGGAATTGTTTGGGAAGGGTTGGTATGTATTGCTAGGAGGTACTGGGGTGGGTTTGGAGGATTCAAACCTACTCCATTCCCAGTGAGATCCCTCTGCCTCCTACTCGTGGATAAGGATATAAGCTCTCAGCTACTGCTCCAACACCATGCCTGCCTAAGGCCATGCTACCAGCTATAATGGTCATGGACTCTGCAACCTTGAGCCCTAAATTCAATGCTTTTCTTTTATAAGTTGGTTTGTTACAGCAATAGAAAAGTAACTAAGATAACTGTTAAACTGGACTACATGAATTTGCTGATGTTGACCTATAAATGAGAACTTAACAGTCAAGTGTTTCTGGGCCAGTGGCACAGTGTCAGGAGGATTGGGTAGAGGTATGCATTAACCAAGGAGTTCAAGGCTAGCCCACATGGTATCATATGGCACCATTTCAAACAAATTTTAAAAACAAAATACAGGGAACAGAGGGATTGGTCAGTGGTGGAAAGCACTGGCTGCTCTTCCAGAGGACCTGGTTTTGATTCCCAGCATCTACTTGGTACCTCACAACCATATGCAACTCTAAGTCTAAGGAGATCTGATGTCCTTTTCTGACCTCCGTGGGCAGCAAGCAAGTATGTGAAACATAGATACATATGCATGCAGGTAAAATACAGATATAATAAAATAAAAATGAAGCAAAAAAATTAAATTCAAAATAGAATATAGTCATATGCTGATGGGATTGTTAACCACATCAAATTCCTTTACTTACCTGCTCAATTTTAACAGCATCGACAATGATTTTCCTGACCCTTTCTTCTGAAGGCTTATTTACCAAGTACTGAAACATGAGGCAAGCAAAGTCACAGTGAAGTCCCTAAAACAGAGACAAGGGCTACTGTCAAAAACCTTCAGTGAGCAACTTCCTAGGTGCTGCTCCCATCCCCCTCCTGCTGTGATGGACAGTAGCCCTCAAACAACCTTTCCTTCTTTGAGTTGCTTCCTCAGGTATTTTATCACAGCAGGGAAAGCAGAGAACAGGGTAGCATTTAAAGAGCAAATGAAGCTCACTCAGAGTTCCAAAAAGATACGGTTTATATTAAGTAACAGCTCAAGATGAAAGTGAACTCGGTGCAAATGTTTCAAAAAGGTAAGCATAATTGTCAAATCAATAAATAAATAAAAACTAACTTGCAATTTAAAGCAATTCCAACCAAAAGCCTGAGACATTTTAATCCAAACACTACTCTGAAAGGATAAATGGAAAGAATCTTATGAAGCCCACTTTAAAATTAATGTTCTGAGATGTAGTCTACCAACTATTAAAAGATACCAGTGCCCACTGAAGTAAAGGCTGTAATCTCAGCTACTACAGAGGTTGAAGCAGAACCAGAAAACCAAGGCCTGCCTGGGCTACAGAATGTGTTCAGCACTAACCCAGGCAGCTTTGTAAGATCCTATCTCAAAACAAAAGAAGAGGACCAGGGAAATAGCTCAGTGGGAGAGTGCTTGCTTAGCATACTTGAAGGCCTGAGCTTTTTCCTCAGCACAGAATAAAGCTGGGGTAATGGCTCGCTCTGTAGCTCTAGCAGTCAGGGGGTAAAGGTAAGAGGATCACTATTTGGCAAGGTTATCCTCTGCCAAACAGTGAGTCTGAGGCCAGCCTGAGATATATAAGAATCCTGTTTTGTTTTATAAAACAAAACAAAACAAAACAAAAAATCAGGACAAGCAAGATGGTTCAGCAGGTAAAGGCTTTGCTGCCAAACCTGATGACCTGAGTTCAATCTTCAATCCCTGGGTCCAGCATGGTAGAAGGAGTGACCCAGCTCCTACAAGGTGTCTTCTGACTTCCACATGTGTGCCATGTCAGGTGCCACCCGGGCAGACAGGTACAGGTACACACCCCCCCCCAATACATGCTTTATTTTTTTCAAATCAAAGAACAATTTTGAGAAAATATTTAAAATAAGTAAGTAGAATTGAAATTGCAATGCTGTACTCACTGGGTGTAACAGATATATAAAGCAAATTCAGTAAACAATGTTAAAAGAGGTCAATCAAGCTAAGCATGGTGATGCACTCCTTTAATCACAGAACTCAGAGACAGGTGAATCTCTGAGTTCAAGGCCAGCCTGGGTCTACAAAGCAAGTTCCAGGACAGGCAAAGCTGGACAGAAAAGCCCTGTCTTGAAAACAAACAGACAAAAAATACTAAAAGAGACCAATATATCACTGTGCATAGGGAATACATCAATAACCATGGCAAATATGAACCTTCTTTAAGGATTATAGAATACCACACAAATGGCCTTAAAATATTAACAGTACTTAAGAAAGAAAAATAAATATCACAACTGGAATAAAGGCAAAGAACAAGAGGCAACTACAAAAATATACAAATAACTAATATAATTATGAGAAAGAGATCAACACCAGCAACAACAAATAAAAATAAATGCAATAATCAAGTGCCAATATACCTATCAGATTTGTCAAGAATTTAGCAAATACCCTAAGCTCTGGAGAGGGTAAGAAAGTGGCCATGCATGGCTAAGCGGAGATAGAAACTGCTGCAAAATTTCTGGAAAGAAATCTGCAGGTGAGTATAAACGACCTGCTAATTCTTTGTAATTGAATTTAAGAAAATTAAAAAGCTAAGACAAAGTTTATATGCAAAGTTTCACTTCAGTAAGACAAAACAACCTGGCATGGTGGTGAATATTTTTTTGTCTTATTTTGTTTTCTGAGGTGGGTTTTCTCTGTGTACCAAGCCCTGGCTGTCCTGGACTCACTTTGTAGACCAGGCTGGCCTTGAACTCACAGAGATCCACCTGCTTCTATCTCCCAAGCATTGTGATTAAAAGGCATGCACCACCACACCTGCCCTGTGGTGGATTTTGTTTTAAAGATTTATTTATTATTTATACATTGTTCTGCCATATGTACCAGAAGAGGGCACTAGATCTCACTATACATGGTTATGAGCTACCATGTGGTTGCTGGGAATTGAACTCAGGACCTTTGGAAGAATAACCAGTGTTCTTAACCTCTGAGCCATCTCTCCAGCCCCCTGTGGTGAATATTTTTAACCCCAGCACTCAGGAGGCAGAGGCATAGGCAGGCAGATCTGTTGTGAGTTCAAGGCAAGCCTGGTCTACATAGCAAGTTTCAAGCCAGCTAGGGTTACACAGTAAGATGCTGTTTCAAAAAGAAAAAAAGCTAAACAAAAATTCTGGAAAAAATTTCTAATTAGGATTAAATAAATTACATCCTTACCAAACTGTTTTGAAACAATGCTTAATATAGAAAAAAGGCTCACAACATTTGCCAGCTGGAAAAAGAATGGTGTGGTGACTCACGCCTGTAACCCCAACACTCAGGAGGTGGAAGCAGGAACATCTCCAAGGTACCCTGAGCTACATGGTGAGATCCTGTCTCAAACAAACAAAATATATAAAAACTATACATTTTAAACATATGATACATACACACAGGGGTGGGAGACTGGAGGAAAAGAAAAGGAGAGATTTAAATGTAGAAAAGTCTATAAAGTCTATAAAGGAAATAAAATACCAAACAGCATTACCTCTGAGTTCATTGACCTTTTTGTTAAATTCTTTATAATAATTATGGCATTTATTGTCTAAGTTCTTAGAAAGCTAAGGACATCACACCAAAGAGCATAACTGTATGAAGCACTTACATACTTAAACAATACCATTCCCAGGGCTGGAGAGTTAGCTCAGGGGTTAGGAGCACTTGCTCTTGAAAGGGACTGGGCTTGGCTCCCAGCACCCACATGGTGGCTCATAACCATCAGTAATTCCAGTTCCAAAATTCCACTTTCTTCTGAACTCCAAGGGAACCAGGCATGTATGCAGTCCACATACACACATGTAAGTAAAACACCCGTACACATAAAATAAATAAATCTTTAAAATTTTTAAATACTCTTCACATATACTGTTTCCTTACATTCTAATAATCCATTAGCATTTATAACTGAAAAATTGGAGGTTCAGAGAAGTAACTTGAGATGTTTCCTTAAGAAGAAATAAGCTGAGAAGCCCAGGTTAGTGTGGACAACAAATGTAACTTGGGTGGCTGTTGTTGATTAAACACTGAAAGTGGAAAGAAGAGCACTCTCTATGCTAAAAAGCCCAGACTCTGTCTAACAAAGTGGGGAGACACACACATGCTATGAACTGTTAGGGATGAGACAGGCTTAGATTTAAACCCATGCATAAAAAAAAGCAGTGACCGGTTTTACCCAATGACATCAGGAATGTTGAGCTGCCTCTCTTGAAAATGTGATCAACAGGTGAAGATAGATAGATAGATAGATAGATAGATAGATAGATAGATAGATAGATAGATATAGATAGATATAGATAAAGCGGGGAGGAAAAATGAAAAGGTATTGCAGACCAGAAGGAGACAAGACTGGATATGGCAAAAAAGGAAAAAACAACTTAAAGTGGCCCCCAGGACATCAGGGTTGTGACATTTGCAAGACAGAAAGATGAAATTGAGCAGCACATTTCAGAGATGATAACAAATCTTGATTTCTGAGATACTTGTTTAAGATATGTGTGGAGGCTACCAGGAAAAAACACCTAGCACGTGCTGAATGTAGGTTTAGATCTCAGAACTATCTGGAACACAGATAAAGCCTGAGGAGTTATGAGCACTTAGATGGTGGCTGATTCTGTGAGAACAAATAAAATAGCCAGAAAATCACAAATGAGAGACCCAGGCAAAAATCTGTAAGTCCATTCATATTTAAGGATAAGTAGAGACCAAGGAGGTGACAAGGAAAACAACATCTCACAGGCCAAAGAAGTGAGTTTATATTTCCTTTTCATTCCAGAATGCTGTGTCAATATATGCATTTTCTCCGGAGGGAAGAAAAATAAGTGAGCACAAATAACACAAACGCACGAGGAAGAACATTTCCTCCCTTACTTCATCCCTGCTGATCAGCTCATTTGAAAAGGTAAGTCCAGGCATGAGGCCTCTCTTCTTTAGCCAGAATATAGCAGCAAATGATCCAGAGAAGAAAATTCCTTCTACAGCAGCAAAGGCCACCACTCTTTCCCCTAGGAGACAAAACAGTTCCATCTTCTAACTACATAGTGCAGACATCTGCAAGCTTATAAACATATGGGGCTTTTTATATTAAACTATCTTCCTAAAAAAACACTGTGCACAAAGGTCTTCAATGCAGGGTTTTCCGTTCCTGCCTGCTAAAGCGGAAAGACATGCCTATTTCAAAGCCAGGGACAAACATGGACTTGAGTAGGTATTGTCATTCTCAGACACATACACACACACACACACACACACACACACACACACACACACACACACACATTCCATACATCAAACAAACAAATAAAAGAGGTGATTTACCTGAAAAGATACATGTGTGTGAGTTCACTCCATGTACTTACATGTGTATACTAGAATGGGAAGTATAAGATAAACTTTTTGACAACTGTCTTCCTCTAAGGGGAGGAGTGGTTGCTAATGTTTATATTTTTGTTAGCAACCTATTGTTGCTAAAAGACTTGATGTAAACATTTCAAACATATTGTTATCCTTGTAGAATAATTTTAAAAATCAGCTGAAGGCAATGATTTCACCTATAAAATAACATAAAATATCTTTCTGTTAAAGATAGAAGAGCCAACATAAAAGTTTATTCACTGTTAGGTAAAACTCTATAAAAACTCATTCCTAAAATGTCTTTAGTTGTAACATATCTGTGACACTGTCTCTAGAATTTTCTGTATTATAACACATACACACACAATAATAACAAATAAACATTTAAATTTAAATACAGAAATTTCCAATTTTTATGCTTTATGTTTCTAATCTTTAGAACAAATACTTAAATCTAAAAGCAGTACGAAGTGTTTATGGCTGACTCTAAAGGAGTCAGGTTTGCCCTTGTTCTTTCCTTGCTTATCTCACATCAAACAGATCAACCACTGCAAAGAGATGGGAATCCAAACTGTCTATTAATAACTTCAAACATGAGAAAAATTTCTAGTTTATCTTTATAGATGCCATTTAAACAGCTGCTTTGGTAATCGTCATCAGAGAGGCTTCACCCAGCAACTGATAAAAACAGATGCAGAGACCCGCAACCAAACATTAGGCAGAGCTTGGAAAGTCCTGTGGAAGAGGGGGAGGAAGGATTGTGGAAGCCAGAAGGGTCAAGGACACCACAAAAACCCCGTGCACACAGTCAATTAACCTGGGCTCCCAGGGGCTCCCAGAGACTGAACCGATGCTCAGGGAGCCTTGTGGGTCTGACCTAGGTCCTCTGCATATGTGTATGGTGTGTAGCTCGGCGTTCTTGTGGGACTCCTAACAGCAGGAGTGGGGGCTGTCTCTAACTCTTGTATGCTTTTGAGTTTCTCGTTCAGTCTTAATCTGAGGGGAGGTTCCTAGTCTTATTGCAACTTGCTATGTTTGTCTGATATCTCTGGGAGGCCTGCCCTTTTTTCTAAAGGGGAACTGAGGCAGAGTGGATCTGAGAGATAGGGGAGGTGAAGGGAGAAACTGGGTGGAGAAGGGAGAAGGGAAACTGGGTTTATGATAGGAGAAAAGAATTTTTTAAAAGCTGCTTTGAAAAAAACTATATTCATAAATTAAAAAAATGCCAACAGAGAAATTATAGAAAACTTTAATATGAATATAATAAATATTATAATATAATCACTGCTTAAGTTATTTCATCCTTATTAGTTTATGATAGTTTTATTTTACAACTAATTATATTATAGATAATAATAACTGACATTTTAAATTATTAAAGTGATTTCATATGGACAATTATCTATAAGAGAATTGGACTAAAATTAAATTTAAGTGCTGTATATAAGAAGAGAGTTATTTTAACCATTCTGTGCACTTATGTGAATACTGAAGAATACAAGCCATAAAAATAGCTATAGAAGACTATTTTTGAAGATAATTAAAAGATTTTAAGGAGGAGCTGGGAAAACAGCATGAGGACCAGAGTATGAATGCCCAGTATCCACATGAAAAGCCAAGAATGGCAGACACACGTGTAATCCTAGATCTAGGGAAATGGATACAAGAGGATTGCTGAAGAGATTTGCCCAATGGGTGAATTCCATGCAAGACCATGACTACAGTGGCACAGCCACCAGCTACACCCTACCAGCAAACTCTTCCTTACATTTCTGTTAGCAATCCTAATAAAACTCACTGGGTTTCTCTCTTTCTCTCTCTCTCTCTCTCTCTCTCTCTCACACACACACACACACACACACAGAGGCACCACACCACAAACACACACACACACACACACACACACACACACACACACACACATACCTGACATGTGTAGACATGAAAAGTAAAAGGGACGCTAACTGAGAGGAAGGGGATAAGCAAGAAATAGAGGGGGACAAGAGTGACTAACAGGGGTGTGTGAATATGGTAAAACACACAATGTACGTGTACATAGAGGTCATAATGAAGCCCATTGTTACCCACAATTAACATATGCTAATTAAAACTTAGGAGTAGTTGCTCATGGAGCCCTATGCCAATAGCAAAGATGCTTTTGTCAGCTGAGGATGCGCTATGAGATAAAGGAACAGAGACTCTAACGAGCGCCCATGGTATGGCTACCTCTGGTTGTCCAGCCCGTCTTTCCTGGGTAGTGCCAGTAAATACATGCCTCAAACAGGGCAGGAAGCAAAGATGAACATAACACCCAAGTTGTCTCTGATCTCCACACATGTGCACACCCATGCTTACATGAATATATACACAGAGAGTGGGAGGGGGAGGGAGAAGAGAAGAGAGAAGGGGGAAGGGAGAAGAAGGAAAGACTGAAAAAATGTCCGGGCCTATGAGATGGCTTAACAGGTAAAAGAGCTTGCCCTGGAAGTCTGGTGACCTGAGTTTGATCCTAGTAACCATGGCAAGGGGAAACCATTTTCTGACCTCCATACATGTACTATGTATGGCACACACATGCCTCTGCCCCACACACATGCAAAAAAATAATAATGTAAAAAATTATAAGGCTAGGATGAGTGGCATATGCTTGTCTCAGTGTTCAGAAGGGCTGGGCAGCAGAACAGTAAGTGCGAGGTCATCCTGAGCTATACACATAGTGAGACCCTGCTTCAAAAAAAAGTGGGGGCATCTCAATCCAGAAGTTTGTCTGTATTTCACTTCCCAGTGAAAACAAGGCTCATTACTGAAAACCGTTCTTGTCCTAGTTGACTGCAAAAACTTGCATTTTTTTAGCAACTAGATCTTTGTTTCTCAGAAACTGTAAGGACTTGACTTGCTTTAAAGCCCTGGCAGTCTTTAAAACTGGTGCAAACCGCAGGTTAATATAGCACTCTCTGCTGAATTCTACGTGACTTCTATACTTGTCAGTATGCATGTTGAGATCTTAGCTTTTCAAGTTCTGACATATTAAATACAAGTTACAGCCTTACTGAGCACCAGTTTCTAAGTAAACGTTGCGAATAGTGACACTGAACTCTCTGTGCTCCACTTTGATGCATCATGACCTCTAAGGCTCATCTGATGACACACAAGTTAACACTACATACCAAAAGTAGACTTTCTATCTGCTATCCAGCGCATGGCCCAGTCTGCTTTTTTCTTCACACATGGCATTGTTTCAACTGCATTAAACAAAAATTCCCTATAAAAACAAAATCATGGAAAAATTACTCATTTGTTTTTATTAATTGGACTAAGTTTTAATAATCAGAGACAATAACTGTAACTCTTACAGTATACCACCAAATCAAGCTTTTCTGTATTTTTGTATGTTCATAATTATGAATACGGAAATAAAAGTAAAACTCTGATTAGTGACTTGGATATAAGCTGATATAACAATCAATGAAATGCAAGCAATTCAATTTATTAACACAATGTACTAACAAGGCTTTGAGATGCTATGAATTATCTAAAGCTTAACTGGTCTATGCTAGGCTTTTAATCTACCACATTATTGAACAATAGAAAACTACACTCACGAACTGCCATTAACATTGTGGTTTTGGAATAAATTCTGGTCTTAACATAAGCAAACCTTCAGAAAGATACAGACCCTGCAGAAAAGGAAAAACCCTGCTGTAATACCTTTTCTTTGGATCTCTGATGTAAGTGTCTATCAGTAAACTGTACATCTCTGAGTGAACATTCTCGATGAGAATTTGAAAGCCATAGAAACAGCGAGCCTCTGGAACCTGCACCTCCTGGCTAAAGCGCTCCACCTAGGAAAATAAGGGAACCGGGAAGAGCTGGTGAGCTGGCTCTCACAAAACACTAGTCACACACTACAAGCAGGACATGGACACCAGAGTTCTCATTTAAAACTCTTTTGTCTTTTCCAGTACTCAGGAAGCTGAACAGGAGGATACTGATTTCAAGACCAATCTGGGAAACACAGCAAGACCCTGTCTCAAAAAACAAAACAGTGATCAGTGAGAAGGCTCAGCAGGAAAAGGTACCTGCTGTGCTTTCTAAATGAGAGAGATCTACACAAACCCGCAGATGGTCACTGAGGGCACATTCTCTATTAAGTTTGTTACATAAGGGGGAAAAAAAGTTAATGAATTCTGTGCAGTTTTTGGATTATGTTCTTACACCACGGAGAATAAAACACAGGGCCTCTGTAATGCGAGCCAAGCAGTGTGTAGTCATAGGGACAGCTTCGGGCTACCCTGTGTACTTTCAATTGCTATAATTTGTGCTTGATTTCACAATGTATTGCTAGTCAGTTAACTATCTTCTCTTCTGAAACTTCATGAGAAAAATATACTCAACACTTAAACTCCAGTGTCCCGGAAAAGGGGCTTTGCTAGTTAGCGTGAGAACCTAAATCCGGGTTCCCTAACACTCACATAAAAATCTGGGCATGTGTCTGTGCTCCTGTAACCTCAGTGCTGGAGGTTACAGTGCAGAGACAGGAGGTGATGAGTTCCAAGTTCCATGAAGAGACTTTCTCTCAAGGGAGTAAGGCAGAGAGCAGCAGAGGAAGACAGCCAACGCTGGCCTCTGCCTCCACACGCACACATACCTCATATACTTTTAAACAGAAGTTACGCTTCATCGAGTTCGGTACTGAGACGTCTTTCTTTCCTCAGGCAGGATTTCTTTATGGTGGTTTATTAACATTGTCATTCAAGTACAAACCAGAAACAACAGTAAAATAAAAATCTTACCAAGTTTTCATTTACAATTCCATCACTGGCTGCGAAAAAGGCTAAGATGTGGGAGATGAAACACTTCTCATCTGACGAAAGCTTGTTCCAGTGAGGGAGGTCCTTTGATAAGTCAACCTAGAATTAAAAACTCCAAGTGTTTTTCACTAAGTTAAAAGAGTTTAGAAAACTTAGACTTTAAAGTTAAGAGCTATGCCATTGCCAGTAATCTGTCAGAAAAAAAAAAAAACATTAAAAATCACAGAAGTCAGCAGGCAGTGATGGCATATATTTTTAATGCCAGCACACAGGAAGTAGAGGCAGGCAGAGTTCAAGGCCAGCCTGGTCTATAAAGTAAGCTCCAGGACAGCCAGGGCTACACAGAGAAACCCTGTCTCAAAACAAACCAAGAAGAAGAAAATCACAAAAGTCAAAATAAGACAAACATTATGTTAATAATACTGTGTTATACTCAGAATATTTGCCTAATTAGTAGATTATAACTTCTCTTGCTACATGGAAGAAAATGGGTAAGTATGTGAGATAGTATATGTGTTTGTTAGTGGGAGAAAGTTTATATACGTGTGTGTGTGTGTGCCTTTGTATGAGTGTGCATATTTTACAACACCATGATCTATTTCTTAGTTTGAGAGTCCCTTAAAGGAAATTGGGTTGTACAATATTTTGAATTAAGAATCCGTGTTTCCTGGTTAGTGGGAGCTGAATTTTTTTGCTTAAAAGAAAATTTTTGCTTAAAAGAAAACAGAACAATCCTAGCATGTTCAAGGAAGTAGGAAGGGTGAGAAGGAGAGAGGGAGTGAGAAAAGAAGGAAAGGACATTTGTGAAGGAGCCTGCTTTTTTGGCTAATTTAGTTGACCAGGATACACTTCTAAAATATTAATATGAAAAAGCTAATGGCAGAGCACCAAGTGAAGGATGAACAAAAAGGAAAGAGAAAGTAAAACCTAGTCAAATACGTAGGTGTGGGCTAAGGACTGGCACCACTTCTTTTATGCAACAACTGCTGTAGTGACGGATGACTCAGCAGCTGCTGACTGATCACAGCTTCTCTGCTCCCACGGCTACTGAGTTCCTGAGAAGTCATCATGTCAGGAAGATTAACAGCCTGGATTTTAAAGCTTCTTCTAGACTAGAAATTCCTCTGAAATACTTACTCAAGTCACTTTGGAATTAGAGTGATGCACCCTAGGGTTTGGCAAATCCAAACCTTTCAAACGGCCCTTAAATGTCACTTGCTGTGTCTTAGCTGGCTCTTGCTGCTAAGTTCACACAGATCAGATGGCCTAAAAACATACATTTACTTTTCAAAGTTCTGGAAGCTGTGAGTCCAAGAGCAGGGTCTGTGCTGGCTAAGTTTATATCCACTTGACACAAGACAGAGTCATTTTGAAAGAAGAAACCTCAATTGGAGTGACACAGACAATGGAGGCCTGCCTTATGAAGCTTCAGAGGGAAGTTTGAGAGTCCCTTAAAGGATATTGGGTTGTACAATATTTTGAATTAAGAATCCATGTTTCCTGGTCAGTGGGAGCTGAAGAGCCAGCTGTGACTAACCCAGGTGACACTGGTTTTGAAAGGCATGAAGGTGTTCTGAAGAAGCTTGGCACTATATAGCAGGCCAGGCAATGCCAATGAAAGTAAAGCCTCAGTTACAGTTGAAGCCCCAGGCCGAAAGGGTCATGGAAAGAAATTGAGCCTGTGGCCCAATCATGCGGCAGAGCTGGAATGACTGAAGAGAGCCAAAAAAAAGACTATTGGGCAGGGAGAAAGGTCCCTTTTTATATTTTTCTTTCTTTCTTTCTTTCTTTCTTTCTTTCTTTCTTTCTTTCTTTCTTTCTTTCTTTTCTTTCTTTCCATTCATTCATATATCTATCTATCTATCTATCTATCTATCTATCTATCTATCTATCTATCTATTTATCTATTTGAGACAAGGTTTCTCTACGTAGCTCTGACTGTCCTGGTATTCATTTGTAGACCAGGCTGGTTTTGAACTCACAGAGATCTGCCTGTCTCTGCCTCCCAAGTGCTAGGATTATACGTGTACACCACTACATCTGGCTCATATTTCTTTTTAAACGGCATTAATCCCATCCATGAGAGCTCTACCCTCATTATCCTCATTACCAAATACCTCCCATTGCCCCACCTCTAAAGACCATCACACTGGGTACTAATGACTCAACTTACAAATTTGAACAAGACAAAAACACTTAGTGTATAGCTCCTATAGCTATTCTGTCTTATAAAAGTATTTAAGTATGTTTAATAATAATGTGACAAATATTTGAAATATATAACTGTCCTTTGTAAACTCTGCTGGGCTTGCTCTTCTTTTAATTATTCTAACACAATCTCATTCTTCTTGACCTTTCCGAAAAAAAAAAAAAAAACAACAAAAAAAAAAACCCCTAACATTCTAACCTTTAAATTATTATATCCTTTCCTAAAACTCTTTTCCTGTTATACCTAAAGTATTTGCTAAACACTCAATACACGCTAGACATGAGGGCTCTCTAGACAATGGGATGAGGAAGGATTCCTGATAGTAAGTTGAATACTGCAATATATCTAGCTTTAAATGTTAAACTTGTGTGTGTGAATGAGAGGTGGGGTAAGAGAAAGAGATCATGTGTGTGCCACAACACATGTGTAGAGATAAGAGGAAAATTCAAGAGTTACTCCACTCCCTCTACGTGGGCTATCAAGAATCAAAGTCAGGCCATCAGGCTTGTTCAGAAAGCGCTTTTGTCCAGATTTAGTACTTGTCAGACAGGCATATACAGATCCAACAATATTTATTCACATAGATACAGCTATCCAGAGATAGAGATGCTTATACAGAGCAAAGGTGTTATGTAGCTATCATAATAAGAAATAAGAATAATTAAATAAAGACAATATTTTTGTTTAAAGTATATAGCAATCATTTGCATGACTAATTGTTCTTATTAAACCAGTAAGTATTTCCAAACTTGTGTGTTCAGCTCCTTTAGAGGTGGAAAAAGTTACATTTCCAGTGAGTAATCAATGGTTGCCCTGCTGGGGCAGCTGTATCAGGCTTGCTGCAGCTGAAGGCAGAGCTACATTTTGAATTTAGCCTGGCAGGCTCAGAGTTGACTGCCCTGCCTGCAGAGATAGTCACCTTTGTCCAAACAGATCCACCTCTCAAAACTAGGGTTTCATCCTTTTGTAGGTTTTTGTTGTTGTCTTGTTTTCTTTTGTCTTTTGAAGCCAAGGTTTCTCTGTATAGCCCTGGCTGTCCCAGAACTCACTATGTAGACCAGGCTGGTGTCTGCCTCTGCTAGGATTACAGGTGTGCACCACCACGCCCTGCTCTCGCCCTTCATTTTCAAAACTACAGCTGCAATATTGATTATTCTGCTGTCCATAAGTATAAAGTGGTGTTAGTACTGGCAAGATGGCTCAGCAGGTAAAGGCAAAGGTGTTTGCTGCCAAAGCTTTGCTCAACCCTGTAATGTCAGTTCAACTTCATAAACACACACACACACACACACACACACACACATAAATGAATGAGTAAGCATAAAAACAAACAGACAAAAATCCAAAACTGTTCTTATCTTGTCATAGCAACTAAAAATCTATTTAAAAATAAAAAATGTAGGCTGGCTGCAGAGAGTGCTCACTGGTTACAAGCATTTGCTGCTGTTACAGACGACCCTGGTTCAGGTCTCAGCACTCACATGACAGGTCACATCCCCCTTTAACTTCAGTCCTGAGGGTCCACCCATCCCTGCTGGTGTACACATCTACATGCAGGCAAACACTCATACATATAGAACAAAATAAATAAATCTTAAAAAATACAAAATGGTCTACAATGTATTAGAACTAAAGGCAAGAAGATCATGACTATGGATGAATAATAGAAAGACTGTGTCTCAGAACAAAAACAAAAATCTGGTAGAATGAGATGTCATTTCCTTATATCAAGAAATTTATTTACAAACACTAACCTAATTACATTCCATTTAAACTTATTGATAATTAGTTATATTCATCATTAATGAGAACTAATAATCTATTTTGATTCTGAGCCATATCTTAGTTAGTGTTTCTTGTAAGTAAAAATATTTCAATACTCCGTAAGGCAAGCAGTGAGCACCGCAGGACGTGATTGCTGACGCATGCGTTGCCACATACCTCCTCTGCTGTCCAGAATGATGCTTGCGCTTGCTTATACATTCTCCAAATATCAGGGTACTGGATTGGGAAGATGACAAACCGGCGGGAACTCTTTCTTAGGAGAGGCTCTTCATCCGACCTCGTCACATCTTCATTTGTATCTGAAGACAGTTGCTTTTAAAAGACAAAGATAAATGTCTTTTTTATGTGGAAAAAAGGTCTCTGACTCAATCCTAAGTACATAGTTGGGGAAAGTCTGGGAGGTAGCATAGGTTGGGGAGGCAATATGATGCACAGATCCTTTCAGGCATCCGACTACCAGGTAACTGTCTACAGAGAGTTGCATGATAATAGGAAGTTGCTTGATTTCTGTAAGCCTCGCCTTCTGCAGCCACGTAATAATGCTCACCGAATAAGATTGTTCTGATTATTAAAATCCTTAAAGCTGCAGCAGGTGCAGAGTAGGCAGCAAAGTTACTGTGGCTATTGCTACTCTAAGCATACGTACAAGGCTAACTCAACGAATTGTGCGAAAATTTGTAAGTTCGTGAACAAAATGTCCCTTCAGTGCCACTCTGATTTAGAAGGCTGATGTGAATGAGTCACTGTTACAGGCTACATTTCAAATACTTTTTCTAATCTTAGCTGAAATATTATAACTTACCTGAGAACTTCTTAGCAACAATGTGGCTCCTTTATCCATATTAACATTCCCATGTGCCACTGTTATTTACATTTCAGATTATTCTTTATAGTAGAGAATTGTTTTCACTTGCATGGCCATGTTAGCATCTTTGCTCCCAGCTTAGCAGTTGCCACACTTATAGCTACGGGCTGAAAATACCAATGTATTTTTCATGATCTCAAATGCTGCATTCTTTAAAATTATTTTGTTATTACTGAATAGCTTCTGATTAGCTTTTTAAAAGTTGTTCCTACATTTGTGGAATTATTATAGTGGAAATAAACTTTAACTCATTATTAGAGATTGGTTGAAGAATAAGTGTCAGCTAGACATAACGGCACATGCCTGTAATCCCAACACTTAGGAGTTGGCAGAGGCAGGAAGATTGCTAGCTCAAAGCCAGCCTGAGCTACAGTGAGACTCTGAGGAGAGAGGGAGAAACAGACACTCAAAACAACATTAGCTACAACTGTGGCCAAACTGAAGAGACAGAGGTCTAGAATAAACAGGTGTGTCTGTGTGTGTGTGTGTGTGTCTGTGTATATGCTCGTATGTGTGTGTGCTCCCATGCATGTGTGTATTAGGAGACCATAAGTTACTTACAGGTGTCTTCCTCTAATGCTCTCCACTGAACCGTAACTCAATGATTGGCCAGACTGGCTGGCCTAACGCTCAACCTGTCTCTGCCCTGAGCTCCAATGCCAGGCTTATAGATACGTATCAATTCCAGGCTTTTAGTTGGGTGCTGGGATTCTGAAGTATGGGCCTCATACTTACACAGCAGGCACTTTGCCAAATGAAAAGGCAACAGACATTTTAAATTTGTGTGGCCCATAAACTCTGTTAATTTTTCTGTAAATAAATTTATTACAGTTTTTAATACTATTCTGTATTTTTTCTGTGCAATGTATTACTGAGGTATCTATTCAGGACTAGAAACCACTATCTCTTCATTCCATTTGTTAGGTGGGGAATTCTGAACATTGGGAACAAAAACACAAACCTTTGGCACCAAGCATCTTGATCTTGGAGTTTTTACATCCTAATAAACAACTGTCAGTCTCAGAATTTGTGAACCTTTTGAAGACCAGTACCTTTAAATTGGAATATAAGCTACATTTATATATACTTTCTTCCTGTTCTACCCTGATAAAAATGTAACATAATAACAGCATAGCAGTATTCATGAATGGTAGTGACATTAATTCATGAAGGATTAGAAGAAGCTACATTAGCAAGTTTTATTAAATATGTTGTCATGTAAAAAGGGTTAACTATATAAACCTTTGAGCTGGGCCAGAGTTGACATATTTCATAATGCATATTTTAATACAATTTGATGAGGTTCAGGTAAGGCTCTCCAAGGTATCCTCCGTAGATATGTGATCAGAAGCCATACTTTAGAACACTGGTCTTCAATCTTCCTAATGCTGTGACCCTTTAATACAGTTCCTCATGCTGTGGTGACCCCCAACCATAAAATTATTTTTATTGTTATTTTATAACAATAATTTTGCTAATGTTGTGAATTGTAATGCAAATATCTGTTTTACAGTCATCTTAGGCAACCTCTGTGAAAGGGTTGTGCAGTCCTCAAAGGGGTGATGGCCCACATGTATTTCACAAGGTGGAAACCAACAGGACGGATTAATAGCAAGATGATTAAGAGAACTAATGCCAGGTATTAATCCATCTTTCAGGAGGCAGAGGCTGGTGGATCTGAGGTCAAGGCCAACCTGGTCTACAGAGGAAGTTCCAGGCCAGCCAGAGATACACAGAAAAATATTGTTTTAAAAAAAAAAGAAAGGGCGGGTGGGGGGGAAGGGGAGGAAAGGAGAACTAATAATATACAAAGAAATGGTTAGCTAAGTCACCTTCCATTTACATGTGAATTCAAAACAAGTTTGTCAAGTCTCACCATTCCTTTGAATAAATAATTTTACAAATAGAAACTTAAAATTACTCTACTAGACAAAAGTAGATTTATCAATTGCTGTTCACTTATGATTTTCTGAAATATGGGCCCAGATATGAATGTCCATGGAAAGAAACTTGAATGTAAGTATAAACTTTGCCATAGTTATTTTTCTATAACCACTCTAAAACAAGGCTTTGCTACTTGAAAAAAAAAATTTCACTGTCATTATTTTATGGAAAAATTAACTTTTAGATTCTAAAATATTACTCCTTGGCTAAATTGTATCCAAAGTTAGGTTAGGTAGGTCTATTCTGCATACTAAATGGAAATTAAGAAATTAACTTTTTAAAACTTTGGAGCAGGCCATCTTGCTTCTAAATGTAAACTTTTGGAAGCCACTGAAGGTTTTTAATCAGACAAGTAACAATACTGGATCTGGGTTTTATGATCACTTGTAGAAATGAGGCAGGATTTGAAAAGAAATTGGAAATAAAAATAAATTTAAATTAGTATAGTTCCCATTTCTTGCCTTTATTGTCTTCTGACTTCCACATGTGCACAGTGGGCCATGTGCAGCCCCCAAACACAGGTTGTAGGCTCCGGAACTTAGTTTTTATTAATTACTCCAGGTGATTCTGATACAAAGAGCCTGCCGCGTGCCCCATCATATCCAGAGCAACAAAGTGCTCAGAACATCCCTGCATCTCAAAAAGTCTTGGAGTCATTAAAAGTACTCACTAAAATTCATTTGAGGTCTAAAATTCTGCTGTATTTATTAATTAAAAGCAACAAAAAATTAATAAAGTTGTTAAGCCAGATTGCCTTCTGATATCATTGGCAAACTAGAGAAGTCTGAATTTTCACCTGAATGGAAAAATTGGTACAAAGTACCTTTGTTTGAAGGGGGAAAAAAATTAAAGGATAGTCAAAACTTAAATGCTTCCAAAACAAAAATCAACTTAGAATCCACGTCTTTGCCTATAAATGCCAGGTTAAGCATTCAGTCTGTGGGCTAAAACTTTTATGTCCCCTCCAAATTGCTTCAAGATACCACAAAGACAAAAAGGTTCACATAAAAAAAAAAAAAAAAGTATAGCTCATATTCCAGATGGTTTAGAGTATCTGTCCCCCAAGACGGGGTATTGGAAATCAAAAAGTAAGAACTTAAATTACTATATATCCATATAACCTAATATTTATTTGCTGTTATTAATACTTCTTTCTGCTAGCACAGAAGCAAAAAGGATGGGTACGTTAATTTTAGATTTATTAAGCACCGTTGCACTTTGCATAAAGCACTTCATTCTTTGTGAAGGAAGCAACACTTCCACTGTTGAAATGAAGAAACGCACACCCCGAAGATTCAGTTAGTAATTGGGTCTGAGCAAAACTGTCCTAAGGCTTTCTCGTCCTCCCTCCATCTGTCATCTCCCTCCTCATCCACCTGGGTCAATTTCCACACACGTTCCTCAACTCTTTAACTGCAAACGGATGATAAAGCATCTCTTGCGATAATCCGCCACAGCCCTTTCATCCCCTAGGGTTCCAGACAAGGGAAGACCAGGGGCTGGAAAGCAGGGCGCGCGGAGCCTTCCTGGGCCGGGACCTCAGGGCTGTCCTTGGCCGGAGCAGCACAGCGTCCCTCCCGCCCTGCCCGCGGGCCGGCTTCCCGACGGCCCAACACCAGCCTGCCGGGAGGGCGCTTCCCTCCGGCCTGCACTGGGTTTGTCACGGCGACGAATAAAACACCACTCCACAACGGTCCTGCAACTGACTTGCAGGTTCCTTGCAACCTAAAGTCCAGGCGTGACCCCGGGGTGGAGGATGAAGCAACTGCAGTATTTTTACCTCCTCCTCCTCCTCCGGCCTGGCCGTTTCCGGCCTTTCCGGGTCGCCCATCGCGCAGACTCTGCCAGAGCTACGGAGCTGAAGGAACTGCGCAGCAAGCAATTCGAGCAAGACTAGACCGAGGTAGCCAACTGCACTGTGCGAACCTCCTCCTGCTCCGGGCCCGCCCAGCTGCGGCGGTCCTGGCTTTTAGTCAGCCCATCTGCGGTGGCTCCGCCCAGGCACGCTACTCCCGAGGTCACGGAGATCCGCCCACCTCAGCCGGCCCCGCCCCGCCCCGCCCCGCAGAGATCCGCCCACCTCAGCCCTGCCCCTCACGCCGCGGAGATGATACTTGCTCAGCTGGCCCGGCTTCCCCCTGAGCCTGCAGCCTGTAGGAGAGTACCAGTGTCCTTCCAACCCGTTCCCCGCCGTCGCGTGATCGCACCCACTCGTGTTGCCCCAGCCTCTACGCTCTCCCTCAGCTTGTCATCTGTTCAGAGTTTGCAGCGTCGACTGGAACCCGCAGTCTGCCTTACCTGCTCCAGACTACCTGGTACACGAGGGGACAGGCACACTGGGACATTGCCTAGCTAGCCCTCGCGGTGCCCCAGCAACGCGGTGAGTGGCAGTCAGCAGAGACTGCTAGAGGGCGGTAGAGCCCGCTCAGTGGATGGCCTGTGAAGTGTGTGTGTGTGTGTGTGTGTGTGTGTGTGTGTGTGTGTGAATAGTGCTTGAGAATGAGGAAAAATAACTAGATTCAGGGAAATATTTTGAAACCTTTGTGAAACTGTTTAAGCAACTGAGTAATATTTATTGAACGTTCTCAAAGTGATGGGTTCTATATTGCTAAGCCCTTTATGTGAATTAGATCATTTAATATTTGAGACATCTCCCTGCAGTCGATGCTGCAACTTTCTTCATGCTACAGATTAAGAAACTGAATCTGAGGATAAATAACCAAGGTTATGCAGCCAAAATACAGTGCTTTCCAAGGCTAAAGTGGTAGAGAGATGCAACCCTTCTGTATTGTAACGGCTAAGAGCAGTGAACAATGATGGTGGCAATAATCTTGGCTGAATTACTAGTGTGATGTTTTCAGGCAACTACGACAGAAAAAAAGGTTTTCAACATAATAAACCGGATGGAACTGTAATTCAATGATGGAGTACTTACCGCCCATGTACAAGACCCTGGGTTCAATCCCCAGGACTAACCCCACCTGTGCACAAACTCAAATAAGGTGAAAGAAGAGTTGAGCGTGCTGTTGAACACTCTGATCCCAGCACTTTGGAAGGTGGGGCAGGAGGATAGTGGAATCAAGGTCGGCTTGCTCTATACAGTAAGATTAAATTCTGAGAGGAAAGAGATTTTCACGAAAGATTACTTACAGATGTTGCACGACAAATAAACTACAAGCAAGGGTTCATTCATTTAGAGTAATCAAACAGTATGTCTCAAAGCATTTTTTAAGAGCATATTCTGCATGAAGATAAAAGAACATTTAGATGCAGACAAAAGCAGACTGCTTAATACTCCCTGAAATCTGTAATTTTGGAAAGAAATGAATGCTTCATTAGCATGGCACAGGATTCCTCAGTCTGCTTCCTCAGATTATGCAGATGAGGAACCTCAAGTGCTCATCCCTTCTCAGAGCAGAAACAGGGAGAACCTTTCTTTCTAATGCTTTGTGTTGACTTCTCACAACTTTACAGATCTCTATTCAACTGAAGTCTCTTCAGTTTGCAGAGTCACACATGGCCTTTTCACAGGTCAAATACCCCCCAGCCTTCCACTCAGCTGAGTGTGGACAATGGACAGTACTTCCCCTTGGTGCCTGAAAGAACCCGTTTGGGCCTACAATAAAGCAAAGAGAAAAAAATTTAAGTATTTTTAAATTATATGAATGTATGTCTCTGAGTCTCTCTCTCTCTCTCTCTCTCTCTCTCACACACACACACACACACACACACACACACACACACACACACACACACACACACACACACACACACACACACACGCGTGAGTGTAGGTATTCAGGGTGCTTGGAAATTGAACTTGTTATCTTCTGCAGGAGCAGTTAATCACTCCAAAGGGAACATCTGTAGTTGGAGCATTAGGAAATCTCTGTCCTTGGTGCTGACACGTTCCTTGATGTAGTCCAAGTGATAAACCATCTTTTTCACTTTCCATCAATACTCAGTCCCTGCAGACACTGAAGTACAAAAGCAAGCGAAGACCAAGCCACAAGCAGTGGTCAGAAACAAATACCATTTGTTTTCAGAAATATACAGGGTAGGAATCACTCCCCTTGCTGGCTGCCGTGATAGTTTAATTTCCTACAATTGTGGTTTCCTTTCCACCCAGATCTTGACTCCTTGGGCTATGGGAATTTGTGCCTTCTTAGAGTGGCTGCAAACATCTTTGTGGTAAACACAATCTTTGCTGTAAGAATAGCCAGTGAGAAAGTAAAATGTTCCAAGGGAAGAAAGCTCATTTTTAATGTCAGAAACAATAAACACCAGCCAGGCACATGTTACGTATTGAGTATACAAACGTGATGAAACATGGAATGTGGGGCACAGCAGCCATGTGTGGGGGAGCCAGCCCAGAACAAGAGTGAAAATCTCATCTTGAGGCTGGCAGGAGGAAGGGCTGCTCCCTCCCTATTCTGGGCCTGCATGCCCTCCTTGCTACCCATCTACCTCTATCACCCTTGAGATAGTTATATAGGCTGGTGGCTGGGTTTGGGGTTAAAACTTCCTGGAATTCCTCTTCATGCAAAGGAAGCATTCCTTAACTAAATGGTGCCTGTCTCTTAAATGATCATCCTTAAATCTTTACTCCCTTATTAGACTCTTCCGAAACCACTGCAAGTAGAACCTCTATTTCCCACTTCATAGAATGGTACTGTCTGGGAAAGAGAAATGGTCTGAAAGACCATATGAACACACGACTCTGCTGCTTTCACTTATTACCGTGATTCCTAGGATTTTCCTTTGAAATTTTGGACAGATGCCTTCACTACTCCGCAACTCAAGTCTATAAAACCAGCATAATGAGGACACTGCAAAGATCTACCAACAGTACAAACAGCCAGCCACAGTCACTTCTAAACATAGAAAAGAATAGGGAGGAGGGGTGTTCAATTAAAAATAAAAAATAAAAAAAACAGGGTAAGAGTCCCTCTGTGCAAAATTCCCTAGATAGCCCTACAGGAGCAATGAGCCTTTGAGGGTCTCTTCTCAAACTAAAACCCTTGCAGAAAACTGGCAAATACCAAACCACTGAAAAATATGGAGTTACTTAACAAGACATGTTTACTATTCAAAAAGACCTCCAATGGAAAGGAGGCTGCATATTTAGCGTATAGAGATTGGACCCTATTGGAATAGGGTATGTGCAGGATAATGCAAGCTTCGTGTAAAGCAAGGGGATTGCAAGAAAGAATGAATACATGCTAAGAACATCTTCCCAGGGCTGGAGAGATGGCTCAGCAGTTAAGAGTATCAACTGCTCATTCTAGGTTCAATTCCCAGCACCCACATGGAGGCTAACAACCTTCTATAACTCTAGCTCCAAAGGACCCAACACCCCCTTCTGGGTTCCATGGGCACTGCATATATGCAGTACAGACACACATGCAGGCAAAACACCTATATGCATAGAATAAGAATCTCACTTTAAAAAAGGGGGACATCTCTTCAAGAAGCCTTCATCAGTAAGTAGCTGTGGAAGATAGTTAACAAGTACTATAGGATGACTACAAGCTTAAAAACATGAAAAAACTAGATAATCAGCAATGCCTTTTAGCAATGGATTCATGCTAGGAAAAGAAGTTCAGTTCTAAACTGGACACCTGAGTGTGCCTCAGTTCAGACATCTGTTGTAGCTCTTCCATCTTCGAAGCCATATTGAACACAGCAGTTAACTCAGATAAATCAGCAGTCAGTAACATAGATTGTCTGCCCTAAGTTTCAAGAACTGTATTAACAACATTTCCACACACAAACACTTTAGGCACTGGCACATGAAGGATAGACAGAACAAAGGAAGTGGTCCTAACCCTAAGTTAAAACTGTCATTGAAATTCAATAATTAAAAAATGTTGGGCTATCAAGATGGTGATCTGAATTTGAGCCTGGAACCCACATAAAAGCAGAAGAATCAACTCCACAAAACTGTCCTCTGACTTTCACATCGGTGAATCACAAAACTTTTAGCATCCTAATCGATACAGCTTTGGGTGAGCTGGGTCTTAAAGGTTTCACACATGCTAAGCATGTACTATGTTCTACACTCCTCACTCCTAAACCATTTATCATCTTAAATTGAACATGCATCCCTGCCTTCCTCCAGAATATATAAAATGTTTTAATGAACTAATTATACTAAAGCAATGTTAGCCCTCAGCTCTTGAACACATTAATGTTCAAATACTTTATAGTGATCTGGTCCTACAAAATGTTTCTATAGTAAGCAGCCCTTTGTACTGGGTTTCTGAATGTTCGTTAGTTTCCTGGCTCTACGTTTTGCTGCTTCTTGGCACAAAGCAGAAATGTGGTCCTGCTACTCCAAACCTGTTGTGCTTTCACTTCTGCACTTGCTTAGTGCCTATATTGTGCCTCATTTCTATTTGCTCATTACCCCAGTTCATTTCTTGGTGAGGATTATGTTTTTCTTTGAGCAGAAGTTTTCTAATGAAATATGACAGAAATGTGTTCATTTCCTAAATGGACTAAGTGGATATGGTGGTAGTGAAAAATCACATAAGTCTTCCATTTCTGTAGGCTATAAGCCGATTCCAGGAGACAGATGAAAAAAGCTGGCTACCTAGGAGCATGAGACACTTTAAAGTTTCGAAAGGCTAATGTGTGATACATAAGGCCTACCTACTCATTACTATGCCACAAGCTTGCCATAGTTTCTGTGCTTAATTATTATTTATCTATGTGTGCCCATATATGGCCAAAGTGTACATGTAGAGGCCAGAAGACAACTTGCAATTGGCTCTCTTCTACCTTATGGACTCTGGAGATCAAATTCAGGTTATCAAGCAAGGCAGCAAGTGTCTTGACCCACTGAGTCATCATTTAGAGCTTGCAGTTCCTTTAAACTTTAAGAAGAGAACTTACAACAATT